AACTTTTAAAGGTGTTGACATCAGACTTTTTTTAGATCTAGAGCTGCCTTTTATAAAATTAAGAGCAGGATGAAACAAGTTTTGTTTCTACACTGTGCATATACCTTTGCATATATATGGCATATCCATGGCTCACAATTAGAAAGAAAATTTTAAGATAGGACCTTAAATAGTGAATTCTAATCCCTGTCAATTTGTTTTCTAATGTCTCCTTTATAGACCTAGAGCTTCAGAAGTACATAGAATGCTTATATGAAATGTCTAGAAGGTTCTCTTTGGGATGCCTTCTTTCTGGTCCCCCCCCCCCCCCCATACACACACAACATTGAGATGTGAACTCAAAGCCTAGTATTTACTGGGAAGGCACTCTACTACTTGAGCCACTTCTACTTCCACAGCCCTATTTTTACTTTTGCCGGGGGGGGGGGGGGGAGGGTGTTTTTATTTGGGACCAGTTTCAAACATTCTCCAGGTTTCTGTATCTAGAGTAGCTGATACTATAGGGGTTATCCCATAGTACCTGATGCAAAGCCATCTTCTATTTTACCTTATAACTTAATGGTTTCATACTACTCCTGGTGAACAGTCATTGCTGTTAAGTAAAAAGAAAGAAATTCTCTTCAGTATGCAAATGATAATATTTTATTTTCATAAATCAGGAATGACCTTTATAGACAGCTAGCCTTGCTATCTAATTATTGCCAGGATAAAAAAAAGAGCTGGAGAGTCATGATTTGCAGAGACTTCATTAACATTTAACTGGCTTATACTTTTTAACTACAATAAAAAGTGAATGTGTTCAGTGATTTAGTCACATTTTGCAGCTGTGTTATCTTGGGATCTACCAGAACCAGGCTAGATGGTGTATGGAACTGTATCAACATGTTTTTCATTGTTTGAATGGATATTACATTATACTTTGTTAAAAAAAAAACTTTCAGGCAAAATTGTTGCAACCAGATTCTGCATAGATTTATGAGGATTTCATTGTGCATTTATAAAGGAAGCATTTATTAGGTATGGCCACTCTAGGGAATACCCATGTAACTTAGATGCAGTATTGCTTTTGAACAGAATTCCTCTGCTGCCCATGAGCTTCCAGATATATGTCCATAAAATATTCATATTTTATGAAAAATACCTGGGGGTGTTTGACTTGTACATATTGCTGCTACTTAAAGCTACTTGGAAAGCCAGAAGCTTAATAGTTCTCTCTTTAATTGGTTGTTTCAGAACTGACATCATTTCCTTTAAGCTCATCCTTATTTTAGCTCAATAAACCACATTTACTATCTTAATAAGTCCCCAACTTATTTTAGTTCTGTAAGCCATCTTTCCTGTCTTGGGGGGGGCTCACTAATAAAGATGATTATGCAGGGGGAATATATTCTAGGGCCATCAGAAATTCATAGTACAATCAGCTCACTTTGGAGGGGCTTCATATCATACTGGGTACAGAAAGAGCCATATTATACATTTTATGTTTCCTTTCAAGTGATAAAAACAGCTCTGTGAAATGAGAAAATGATATCCTTGTGTTGGCATTGTATGGGTCTTTGGGGTTTGCTGTCAGCCACACATGTTCTTGCCTGGGTACCTGTGTGCATTTTCAGTGCCAGCAGTCATTTTGTAAATCTAGTCATGCACCAGCCTGGCCTGGCTTATGAGGCCGCCCCAAATACTAGCTGTTTAAGCTGATGCTACAGGGCTTCATCAGCATGCTGTGTGTGTCTCCCCTGGGGGGTCAGTTCTGTCAAAATTGATTATTATTTTATTCATTTTTACTGTTATTTGTGCCACTGCTGTTTAGGCTTATCCCTTCAGTGCTGAAACTGTTCTCTACCTTTAAATAGAGTTTGCATCCAAGGAAAAAATTCTCATAAATGTTTGCACACAGTTCTGACATTTCTTACCCCATATTGGAAAGCCATTAGCATTATAAACTCAATAAATCCACTTTGCTCCTATACTTGTTGAAAATTCAGTAAGAGGGAGATATAAATGACCATTTTTGTCAAGGTGAAATGTTGAATTTAATCCTGTATCTTTTATAATGAGATTTCTTTTCCCTGGGGAAAATTTAATTGTGACCAGAATGGTTCAAAGTGTTCCAGAAGATAGTGCACTGATTTTGGGCCTGTAACTAGAATTGGTTAGCAAGACAAAGGCAGAAAGCTGAGAGAGACTACTTAGAATAGCCTAGAGTTCCTTGTCTCTCCCTTGATGAACATTTATTGACATGTAGAGACAAATGTAGACAGCCCCTCATGAAATTGGCAGATACAAGTTTTCCAAAGGTTTGGGGCCAGAAATACTTTGGATTTTGAAATTGTTTTTATAATGAAATATATATATATATATATATATATATATATATATATAAAATTTGATATTGTGGGGATTTTAGTAAAGTCTAAAAAATGTAATTCATTTGTATCATGTATTCCTTCTACATATAGCCTGAATGAATATCGATGCAGTGTTTTAGTGTTTGTTCATTTTGATCTTGACCCATCAACATGAGGGAGGGTACAGAATTTTCCATGTGTCATATGGGAGATGTTTAAGAAGTTTAAGATTTGAGAGTGTTTGGGATTTTGCCTTTTCTGATTAGGAATATTTGTTCAATCTGAGACATGAATCTAGTAAGATGGCTAATACCTGAATAGCAGGGTCAGGATTCCACAAGCTCTCCACAGGCAACAAGATGGATTTAGTAGGGAAGAGTGGACAAAAAAGGAGAAACCGCTGAAGAGTAGTGATATAGAAATGGTGGATGGGTCTCATGCTCTCAGCAGTTCCCTGGGCTGTCAGCAGAGCAAGAGGTCAAGGCTAGGGCCTACATTATTTCTGATTCCAGTGCTGAGTTCTATTCTTTGGGACCAGTGACAATACCTGCCAGTAAGTGATGGGTCATAAATGTTCTAGTAGGTGGGATTGAAGAGAGAACAGGATGTTTTATCTTGAGAAGTGAAGACTTAAGAGCATGATAGTTCTCATGTATAGGATCCTCATGTATAGGAGCAGAGAGGTTCACTGTTACCAAAGTGAATAAAGATAAGATAAATGGGTATACATCTCTAGCAGTCAAGCATGAGACTCCCCCTCACCTCCAAATGGCTAGAAATCTTTTATTTTATTGTCAAGGTAATGTACTGAGGGGTTACAGTTATATAAGTAAGGTAGTGATTACATTTCTTGTCTAACTTGTTACCCCTTCCCTCATTTTTCTCCCTCTTTCCCCACCCTCCTCCATGTTGTACAGATAATTTCCAGCATATTGTCTTGTGTATATCCCTGTTGCATTAGTTACCCATTTGTCCTTTGTCTCACCATTTTGTATATACGTTTATCTGAAGCAGGGAAGGGAAGGGAAATCACGAGACATCTTAAGGGGAATTTTTTATATGGTAGGTGCACTTTACAAAGTTCTGACTTTAATCCCTTATCTTATCTGTTAGGAATGTAACTGGCTCTCTGGGAGAATGTAGGGTTGAGTTACACTTTTGACTTCTGATATCTGTGTTCCCTTTGGGAATACACACCCATTAGTTTCATCATACATTGAATGCATAGTATTAAATATTCTTAGTTTGTAGAATTATTTTTGTTGTTTATTGTTTATGATACTTAAATTTGAATTCAAGGCCTTGAACTTGTTAGACAGGCACTCTAATTGAGCCACATCCCTAATCTTTTTGCATTTTTTTTCTTTTTTGATATAGGGGTCTTGACAGCTTTGTCTAGGCTAGTTTCAAAATATGATCTTACTGTCTCTTCCTTCTGAGTGAATCTGGGATTACAGGCCTATGCTGCCATATCCGACTTAATTATTTCTATTATTATTATCATTATCATTATTATTAGAGATTAAAGTCTTGCTCTAAAGACCATGTGGGCCTGCATGGTTCTATCTGCCCCAGGGTGGACCTCAACTCACAATCTTCCTGCTTTGAGAGTATAGACACATCTCATAAGATTTGCATTCATGTTTTCTTGACATCCATGCTACTTCTCTTTTTTGGCAAGCAATCACAATTAATATATTGACTTAATATAATTAACATATTAGGTGTTGGGTTATACAGTAAATATCCATTATGTAATGGGTGGCTTATTTTCATAATCATTATTATGATCAATATAGTCATGCACTTTATCCATGGGAAATATTTGGCAAAAGATTTGATGCCATGATCATTCAAACTCATAGACATTTAAGACAATGAAGGGTGGAACCTGAAATCATTATTGCTGTATGCTGTTGATGCTGTAACAGCTGAACTTTTATGCATATTCTTCATTTTCTATTATTTGTTGTCCCTTTAAGTAGTTTATTTCTAGTACCAGAATTAAGCAGATATTTGCCACATGTTTAATCTTGAAATTATTATTGCCTTTAAAACGTATAGACTATAAAATAAATGTATTATCTTTTTTTAATTTTGAGACCTCAAGTTTCCAAAATCATAAAATGAAACCTGTTCTATGTTAGATTTAGTACAGTCCTTTGAAAATGGTTTGTAAACTTTGACTATCTGTAGTTTGTATTGTGTCTTTTCTTTCTCTGACATTGTGCTATTTTTGTTGTGGAAGCATTTTCTTTTTTTTGACAAATTATACTGTGTTTTTTCTTATTGAAAGCATTGAATACTTAAGGATGTTCTATTACAGTTTTGGATGCAAGATGAATTTTCTCAATTCCTATACATCTGGAAAATGCAGTTTTAAATTTGCGTATGTTCTACTTTCAATTTTCTTCTATCACCATTGAATTCCTTTTGGAGAGCAAAATAACATAACGGAAGGACAAGGCATACTTTTGAGAGTTTACAATTCTTAGCAAAAGTGCAATAAAGGTCAGATCTGAGCTTCCCGTTCAAACAGGTCAAGCCAAACTTAATATGATATCAAGCAAGTATGTTGCCTCCTGTAGTCACCACAGCTTATTCCAGAATCTGACTGTTATTTACATTACTTTTTATTCTTTCACATTGTAGGTGGTTGTGTCTTTGATGAACCATATAGCACATGTGGATACAGTCAATCTGAAGATGATGACTTCAACTGGGAGCAAGTAAACACTTTGACCAAACCAACTTCTGATCCATGGATGCCATCAGGTTTGCTCTTAATTGTCAGGTTTTTTAAAACTAAAAGAGTCTTAAACAACAGTCTTAAACATCCGGTGACTATTGGTCATGGGGTATTGGTGGAATGAAGAAGGGTTTTGGTCTTTGAAGGCAACAGTTGATGGCTGTCAGCTAGTCAGAATGATTACAAGGGTGTGAACTTGGAATGTCCTCCTTTAAAGTCTAGTGATGATTTACTTTATCTTTGGATAGATACACTTTAGGCAGACTAATGTCTTTATCAATTGGTCCTTCCAATTGATATGAAAAGTAGATGACTGTCTTTTCTGACTCATGGAAGGAACTGTTGTTGGAGAATGCAAGTAATAAATCTCTATCACATAGGAGACTTTGGAGGTGACTCCCTTTACTTAGCATGTGGGAAATCTGGGAGGATACCTAGTGATCTTGAAAGCCTTCAGAGATTCAATGGTGTTGCATAAATGTAGATGTAATTTCACCAAGCTCTTGAGAAGTGTTCCATTTTGTGCTGAGTAAGACATGTATTTTACTAAAGCCAGCAAGAATTTAACTATGATTTTGGATGGAAGAATAGGAAGATAGTGACTGGAAAATTGCAATCATACTTGAGCTTGTCTAGTTTTATTGGGCCTCATTTTCAGGTTGTAACTTTGGACAACCCTTTAAAATTTTAGATTTACAGGTTCATTATAGTGATGGATTGATGACCATACCAATTTAGGATTCATAAGTGATCTTGCAAAGATACTTTGAAACATGAAGTAGACTTTAACGTAAATATAACTAACCTTTGTTGCCAACCATGTTGTTACTCTTCCCTTCCTACCTTAAACTCTTCATAATTTCAAATAAAGGAACATTGGGCTCTGGAGTACTATAGAGTTTTTTCTCTTCAGTTCTTTGCTCAGTTCCCCACAGATTACATTTTCTTTTTCTTTTTCTTTTTTTTTTTTGCGTTGCTTTTTTTTAATTGTGAAGATACTGCACGGAGGGGTTACAATTACATGGGCAAGATATCGAGTACAATTCTTATCAAGCATTGTTGTCTCCTCTTTGTTTCCCTTTCCCATTCCTTCCCATTACTCACCCCTATCCGATCCTCCGACACAACGACTTGTACATCTCATTGTCGCAATGGGTGCACCTGTATCCCTATTTAAAAGATTTATTTTTTCCCTTGCCCTCCACAAATTATACCAACATCAAATACAGTGAAAGCAGGGGTTATACCGTGGGAGAGGGACACACAAAACAACAAAGAAATAATCTTGTAAATATGCTAGAAACAATTGTATGAAAGAAAAAAAAAAACATTTGAATACTTATCGTGGGGTTCATTTCCCTAGCATCAACTTATCTGACCTTTTCTGCTTGCCTCAGACATTTACTAGTTATTGCAAATAAGGGAAACCATGGGACCTATGTTTCTTTGGGCCTGGCTTACTTCACTTAATATAATTTTTTCCAATTCTTTCCATTTCCTAACAAATGGGGCAATGACATTCTTTCTGATGGAGGCATAGAATTCCATTGTGCATATATACCACATTTTCTTGATCCATTCATCTACTTAGGGACATCTGGGTTGGTTCCATATCTTAGCTATGGTAAATAATGCTCCAATAAACATAGTTGTGCTGGTAGCTTTAGAGTGGTCTTGTTTGTGATCCTTTGGGTAAATGCCCAAAAGTGGGATTGCTGGGTCATAGGGGAGCTCTATGTGGAGTCTTTTGAGGAACCTCCATACTGCTTTCGAAAGTGGTTGAACAATGCAGTAGGGTTCCCTTCTGTCTACATCCCCTCCAGCATCTGTTGTTATTAGAGTTCTTGATTATAGCCATTCTAACTGGGGTAAGGTGGTATCTCAATGTTGTTTTGATTTGCATTTCTTTTATTGCTAGAGAGGTTGAGCATTTCTTCATGTGTCTATTGGCCATCCTTCTTTCCTCTTCAGAGAAGTTTCTCTTTAAGTCTTTAGCCCACTTATATATTGGGCAGTTGTTTCTTTGAGGATTTGTTGTTGGGGGATTCAATTTTTTGAGTTCCAAGTATATTTTAGATATGAGACCCTTGTCCATTGTATGGCTAGTGAAGATCTTCTCCCAATCCGTGGGCTTTCTATTGATCTTGCTAGCTATGTCCTTTGCCATACAGAAGCTCTGCAATTTCATGCAATCCCATTTGTCCGATCTTTCTTTGATTTATTGTGTTTCTGGGTCTCTATTAAGAAAATTTTGGCCTGTGCCAAGGAGACCTAGGGTTTCTCCTATTCTATCCTGTAATGTTTTCAGAGTGTCTGCTTTGACTCCGAGGTCTTTGATACATTTGGAGTTTATTCTGGTGTAAGGTGATATATAAGGATCTAGCTTTAGTTTTCTACAAGTAGTTAACCAATTTTGCCAGCACCATTTACTGAAGAGGCTGTCTTTCTTCCATTCTATTTTTTTTAACTCCCTTATCAAAGATTAGATGGCTATAGGTCTGTAGGTTCATTTATGGGTTTTCATTTCTATTCCATTGGTCCTGAGGTCTGTTGTTGTGCCAGTACCAAGCTGTTTTGATTACTATGGCTTTGTAGTAGAGTTTGAAATTTGGTATTGATATTCTTCCAGTACTGTTCTTTCTGTGTTGAGGATCGTTTTTGCGATTTGGGGTCTTTTATTGTTCCATATGAATTTTTGGATTGCCTCTTCTATTTCCTTGAAGGATGAGGTTGGAATGTTGATAGGTATTGCATTGAATTTGTAGATATCCTTGGGAAGAATTGCCATTTTCACGATGTTGATCTTTCCAATCCAGGAGCATGTGAATTTTTGCCACTTTCTAAATTCTGTTTTGATTTCCTTTTTCAGGTTTTTAAAGTTTTCATCATAGAGATTCTTCACTTCTTTGGTTAAGTTAATTCCTACGTATTATATTTTTTTGTGGGGCTATTACAAATGGAGTTGCTTTCCTGATTTCAGCCATGCTTTTCTCATTGTTGGCATAAAGAAACGCCATTGATTTTTGAGGGTTAATTTTATACCCTGCTACTTTGTCAAAGTTTTGAATCAGCTTGAGTAATTTGGGAGTAGAGTTTGTGGGATTTTTAAATTCAAGATCATGTCGTCTACAAAGAGGGAGAGTTTTACTTCTTCTTACCCTATTTGGGTCCCCTTTATGTTTGCATCTTGTCTTTTTGCTATAGCTAGGCATTCTAATACTAGATTGAAGAGAAGTGGAGAAAGTGGACATCCTTGTCCTGTTCCTGAGTTTAGAGGAAATGGCTTTAGTTTTTCACCATTGAGTAAAATGCTGGCTGTAGGTTTGTCATATACAGCCTTGATTGTATTGAGGAATAGTCCCTGGATTCCTAATTTTTCCAGAACCTTCATCATAAATTGTCAAATGCTTTTTCTGCATCTATTGAAATAACCATGTGGTACTTATACTTGCTCTTGTTGATGTAATGAATTATGTTAACTGATTTGCGTATATTGAACCAGCTTTGCATCCCCGAAATGAATCCTGTCTGATCGTGGTGTATGATTTTTTGGATGAATTGTTGAAGTCGATTGAACAAAGTTTTGTTGAGACGTTTTGCATTGATGTTCATCAAAGAAATGGATCTCTTTCTTTGATGAGTCCCTGCGTGGTTTTGGGATGAGGGTTATGATGGTTTCATAGAATGATTTCAATAGTGAACTTTCTCTTTCAATTTCATTGAAGAGTTCGAGGAGTATTGGTGTGAGCTCTGCTTTGAAGGCCTTGTAGAATTCCGCTGTAAAACCATCTGATCCTGGGCTTTTCTTAGATGGGAGGTCTCTTATTGCTGTTTCTATTTCAGTGCTTGATATGGGCCTGTTAAGATGGTTTAACTCATCTTTGTTTAGTTTTGGCATGTTGATATTTGCTAGGAAAAGGTCCATTTCTGCCAAGTTTTCAAACTTATTAGCATAAGTGTTTGAGAAGTATTTCATTACAGTGTTCCGAATCTGGGTTGTTTCTGTGGTGAAGTTTCCATTCTCATCTCTGAGTTTACTTATTTGGGTGTATTCTCTTCTTTTTCTGATTAGATTTGCTAAGGGTCTTTAAATTTTGTTAGTTTTATGAAGAACCAACTCTTTGTTTTGTTGATTCTTTCTATGGTTTTTTTTGGATTCTCATGCATTTAATTCTGATTTAATTTTGATTATTTCTTTCTGTCTACTGGATTGGGATTTATCTTGCTGCTCTTGTTCTAGCAGGCTCAGATGTCTCATTAAATTGTTAGTTTCAGATCTCTCCAATTTGTTGATGTAGGAACTCAGAGCTATAAACTTGCCTCTGAGTACTGCCTTTGTTGTGTCCCAGAGGAGCTGGTAGTTTGTGTGTTCATTTTTGTTGAATATCATGAACATTTGAATTTCCTTTCTAATCTCTTCCATGACCCACTGGTGGTTCAACAGTGTGTTGTTCAGCCTCCATGTGTTACAGGACTTTCTTTGGTGGCTTTTGGTTTTGAGTTCAAATTTTATTCCCTTGTGGCCTGAGAAAATGTATGGAATAACTTCAATGTTTCTGAATTTGGACAAATTTGCTTTGTGACCTAAAATGTGGTCTATTTTGGAAAATGTTACATGTGCTGCTGAGAAGAATGTGTATTCTGATGCTTCTGGGTCAAATATTTGGTAGATGTCTGTTAAATCTAGTTGATCTATGCAGTTGTTTAGGTCTGTGGTTTATGTGTTGAGTTTTTACCAAGTTGATCTATCTAGTGGGGATAGTGTTGTGTTAAAATCCACAACAATTGGATCTATATGAGATTTGAGAAAAGTAGTGTTTCTTGGATAAATTGGGTGCTCCATTTTTTGGCAAATAGAGATTTAGAATTGTAATATCCTCCTGAAGGAGAGATCCCTTAATTAGTATGTAGTGACCTTCTTTATCTCTTCTAACTAATTTTAATTTGAAGTCTATTTTATCTGATGTTTGTATTTCAATTCCTGCCTGTTTATGGGGGCCGTGTGCTTGTTAGATTTTTTTTCCAG